TGTTCTTATCCCCTGTTCAATTATAAACTCTTACTTTGTACTATAATTTACTGGTAATGACTTCCACTCTTCTACTTGTAGAAGGATCAAGAATTATTTATTAGACCTCACTAGTATATCCAACTTTGTCAAAACATTCTTTTCTTCTTACAGTATACAAAGGCAAGGATATTTATTTCAGTCAATGCCTGCAAACATTAGTTCATTGAACTAATCAGAAGCAAATTCTCAAATCATGGGAGTTAAACAGTTGGCAATATTCTATTAACTTTGATTATGAAAATATAAAATTGATGGTCAATTTATGAGGCTATTTGTCACAGAGTGATGACAAAAAGTCACTGTGAGGTAAATAACAGACATGCAGAGATTGCTTAGAAAAGGTACCATTTCAGTCTTTGCTTCTATGCTTCATCTTTTTCAAATTAGCCTAACTTTCGTGGCCACTGGAGAAGGTCTTTTCCTCCCAGGCCTCTTTGTCCCATCTCTTGTGTTTAGAAAATGAATCTTTAATGAATGCTAATTAAGTTTCTAATTATAATATCTTTAAATTTAATGTTTATGTATTAGATGAAAGGCAAACATTTTGGGTCCAGTCACAAAGGACATGAATAATTTCCTCAGAAGCATATCTAATTAATTTTATTGATCTATAGTATCTTTAAAATTTGAGATCTTATCAATTTATTAATTTAGATAACTGAGTCTTTCATTCTTAAGTATGAAACTCCTGCTGAAATCCTTCAGTTGTAATTTAAATAATGTGCAATTATCTAGACTGTATAAAGGTAACATGTGTGGGATAATTAGAGGATATTTACTAATCATATTTTGGTTTTGGCCTTATTTACATTTTTATTTTTCTGTCTGATTTATAATATTTTAAACAACAAATTCTAGTTTAAAAAATCAGTATACAGTAGTTTATTCAACAAAATTTCCTGACTTTTCCTCAATTTATCTGCTCCTAGGTATTACTATAAATCCAGGGTGACAGAATAAATTCTGGGATTTTTAAATGTGCTTCATATTCTGAACAAAAAAGACTGCCTAACTTTTTTTAAAAAACAATAGTAATATTAGATGATTATTTAAATAAATTACAAGGTCCATGACTAAGTAATTATTTTATAGGACTAAGCAAGTTACAAACATCACACTTTGAACCTGTTGATCTTCAGTGACTTGCCTCAGTATGTGGAAATACACAGATAATATAATATTGAATAAATAAATAGAGCAATGAAGAATAAATAAATGAATAATCAAATATGTTAACAAAATTCTCATAAAAGGATTCCAGTACTTTTAAATGTCCTAAAGTAATTTTGTATGGTAATTTGTAAAATTAATTCAAAGTGCATTCAGTTAAATTAATTTCAATTCCCTGCTTTCTGTAATAGAAGTGAAGTATGTTTATTACTGTCACTAATATAAGTCATTCCAAATACTCTTGCTTTCAGGAAGAGAAATGGTGACACTTTAAAAAGAAAAAGTTAGGCCTCAACTTAAGATCCTTCCCCTTTCATATCAGGAATGAAGTTCTTTCCAGCTGTTATAATTTTAGAATACTGAAAGAGATCATTCCAAATTTCTTCACTATGCCTTAAATCTAATAAGTGTTCACACTCTTGTACTATTAGATAACAAGTTGAGGAGTTGACATAGTTTACTACCTGTTGTGAGTTCAATAGAAAGATAGGAGATGAGATGGTGACAATAATGGTGTTGATTAATGTAGACTTTAAAATATTTTCTACACAAAGTAATCATTCTGATGGGCCTTGAAAGAAAGCATGGACAGATGACATTTCTCTTAAAATGCAGGTGCAGGCATAGGTCAAAAGCTATTCATATTTTATCTCATAAGGAAAAAGTGAGTAGAAAGTAAGCAAACAAAAAGACAACTGCAAATGTGCCACAAAAAAAAATGGATTCTTTTGTTCAGCTCTGTATTCCTGTAGTACAAAAGAATGTTTCATTGCTTCAAGGCTAATGGCTTAATGTCAATGGAATAACACCTTAATCTCTTTAGAACATGGCTTGAACCTATTCTTAGAATGAAAAAAGGGTTTATTAGAGAAAAAAGACAATGGCATACAAAAGTTGAAACTATTTAGTTACACTGAAATCTCATTTTTTCCTATAAGACAGATGAGGCTAGCTGCCATGTGTGTCTACTCACTGATGTCACTTTTCAATTCAGTGGAAACAGTTTATCTTTTCTTTTACTTTCTTAAGGAAAAGTACTGTAAAAATACTAAATAAGGAGGAAAATCCTGATGTAACTTAATAGAGCTCATAGCCAAGATGTATAAGATTTTTGTTTCTACAGAGAAAGAGAGGGAGAGAGAGGGAGAGAGAGAGAGAGGGGGGGGGGGGGGGAGAGGGGGGAGGAGGGGGGGCGGATGGAGAGGGAGAGAGAAAGAGAGAGAGAAAGACTGACAATAAATTATCATTTTTAAGTACAAAGAAGAAAGTTTGTATATATGTGTTTGCATATAAAATGTGTGCACATAACTTCAAAGGCAGACAGCAACTACCAATAACCATACTGATAGATTTGGACTAATTAAACATTGTCAGTGAGCCTGACTCAATGGTTTACCACACTTTTCACTGCAAAAGACAAAGACACTACTGGCAGTCTAAGATAGATTTTTCTCTGTTCTTTTTATGGTCTACAGTGGCAGACTTGCTATTGACATATTTGACACAAGCAGTTTATTTAGTCTTTGATGAACACTTAGTAATAGTATCATTAGCTTGAACACAAAAATATTAAATAGGCATTCTCTGTAATTATTCATTTACCAAAAGAATTATTTTAGAATATAAAATGAATTGGTATTATAAAAATAAATAACTAACAAACAGTACTTTGCTGTTAAGAAACATGAAGTTAAAAATGATAGTTAATTCATTAAAGGGGCTTTTCAGTGATAATATAGAACCATAAAATAATGACATTAAATTGTCCAACTTCTCACGGACAGTTGCAGATTACAAATGCAATTCTGAAAATATTAGAGGCTATTGAAATCATTAGATAAATTCAGTGTGACATCTGAATTCAAACTCCAAACATTGCTCAAAGTCAAGATAAATACAGGAACTATGTAAGCATTTGAGGACTAGGTAGTGTTAGGTCCCTGAAAATAATATATGTCCCCTATATTTTGCAATAAAAATGTCTCATGCTTGAAGGACAAAAACTGAATAAACTTTAATATTATGACCGTGTAAACTATTTTCTCAAAACAAATAAAATATATACAGTGCTGATAATACTAAAAATTCCAAAATGCAAAGGCTAGAACATACCTAGATATACGGCAGGTACTTATATGATAACTTTTATTTCTTCCATTATAAGATTTACAATAATTTCATCAGTAAAATGTTAAATTCTGGATTTTCAATTTCCCTGGAGAGAAAATGAATCAAAACAACTGTGAAGGAGACAAAGTTAGAGTTCTAAAGTTTATTTGCTAAAAACACCATTCTTTCTACATTGCACAAGCTCATGGTCAGAGTAGAAAGCAATACAAGCCTTTAAGGACACAGTCATTTTGATTTAAAGTGTAACCTTTGCAGAATTTTGTTGACTAGACAAAATTGAAATGTCAGTTTTTTGTCTTAGAGACATGTGTTATATGATGTTTTTAGAATTTGCATTCCATTAACACTAGAAAGCCACGTGCTTCTTCTATAAGAAGAGAAGGGATTAATTCCTTAGACAATAAATTAGCAAACTGAAAAGAATATAACATGGGAGGCATTATCTTGTGTCCTATTACTTTCATGAGAGTAATTCCAATTTTTAATTTTAGAACATGCTTCCCAATTAGCTAAAATCAAATTTTAAAGGTTAGCTAGGAAGAAATAGTAAATTCTTAGCATGAGTGCAGTTATTTTGTCTGTTCTTTAAAAGACATTTTTATATATAAAAATGATAATGAATATTTGAATGTTTTAGGGTGTTTTCCTTAATCAATTGTCAAAGCAAGGAGTTTAATATCAAATGCGAGCATATTTGTTCATATTGAAAGCCAAACATGTTTTTCTCATTGTTTGCTAATAAATATTCAGTGCCACAGTAACACAAACAAGTAATTGGCCCTCTCCATTACATTCTGTATAATTTACAACAGATCAAAGATTAGAACATGATACAGTCAGAGTCAAATTGCATTGCATTTATTACTCATAAAAAATCATTGCCTAACCCAACAATATATTTAAGAACCATCTAGACTTTATGTGTGTGTGTTCACACATTTATACATATGTGTTATATTTAGTTTAGAGACACAAGGACTACAGATTACTTATTAAGATCTCTACTATAGGAATTGACCTAGAAATACTGTTATATTTGAAAGTATTTGTGAAAATGACACTACTAAAATAACTCAGTCTTTTTGCCTTATCAAAAAATATACTTAGATTAATTTTAATGAAACACAAGGTTTACACAATATATTACTGTTCATCTCAAATTTTATCTTTTTCATGATTGTTGAGAAGTTCTTTTCAACAAGTGATTTAACTCTGCTCTTGTACTAACTTCTTAATATTGATCTTAATAGACTCATGCTTAGAAAAATGAGTAAGAGCTCAGAATGGGCACTTTCTCCCCACAGTGAACAGACAAATCTGTGTTGTTGTGCAAATTGATTTTCCTTTACATAATGTCTTTTAATAATAATATAAAGCTTACTTCATAAACACAGTCTATATTAATTTACATATGCTCCTTTGTGAGGTAAATTCTAGAAAATGTTGTTTAGAATAAATTTTTTTGCCTTTTTTTTCTTTTTAAGTAGTTATCCACTTGCTGTGCTTCCCCAATACTTTTACAGCAGACTCTGTAATCACCATATAGAAAAGATCCAGTGAAGGGAGATGGAACTAGACATAGAGAGGGAAGTTGAGTTACAAGTTCAAAAAAAAAAAAAAACACCCTGAATGCTGATGCTGTTTTTTCCTTCCCATAGGAAACCACAGCCAGATATCCCGAGTGCCTGTTGCTATTAAAGTGCTGGATGTCAATGACAACGCCCCTGAATTCGCAGCAGAATATGAGGCATTTTTATGTGAAAATGGAAAACCCGGCCAAGTAAATATCTCCATGTTGTTAATGCTGAATATGTTTGTATACAACTGTCTGGTACTTAATTAACCTGCATAACTAGTGCATTTGCATTGGTTTGATCTACAAAGTCACAGGCATGAAACTCATCAAAATGGGAACAGAAGGGAATATTTGTCTTTTTCAGATATTAATTCTCTTCCTACTTTTAACAAAATTGGCTCATAAAAGTAGAATGATCTGCTCTCCCATGAACTCAAAGCCAAATCATTGTCTAAAATTCATCAGATATGGGTGACAGCTGGGGATTGTCTTACAGTGCAGGAGCTTGAATCAAACTTCAAATGACAAGATTCAAGTAAATAGTTTGTTGGAGGCATGCATTTCTGTCTTATATTTAAAAGAATAACTCTTCAATGTTGATCCCAGAAAGCCAGTAGTTTATAGGAAGCTTTAGGTAGTGAGTTTTACATCTCTATGCATGTATGCAAATGTATAAGATAGACACCAATATTTAGAAGTGTCCATAAGGCATTTATATGTGTAATAGTGGAACTCATATTGCATAGATAGAGATAATGAAGACAGGAAAATAAAGGACAGAAAATAGAAGTATGAAGCAGAGTAGACAGAA